TAACTGAAAGCCCTATCAATTGTGGAGCCAACCAGCGACAGGAAGCCGCAGCAGAGGGATGAAAGAGCCACATGCGGCTCCAGAGCCACGGATTGCTTACCCTTGGTCTAGAGGGCTCATGACAGAGGTGGGGTTCTACCAGTTCGCACCTATTCGATAGAACCGGTTCATCAAACCTACCGAACCGGTTAGAAGAGGTTCCACCAGTGGACCCGGAAAGCAGGCCACACCTACAGAAGAGGTTCCAAAAAATTTTGAAACCCACCACTGGCATTAACTGGGGTCCTTGGGCCATCAAACATGTATCCGTCTGTGAAGTAGGGAAAGAAACAAAATTGCTCCCCAGTTTGCCTTTTACTTGTTTCCTTTCACATTGGAGGAAGGCAGAAGAGGCCAAACAGGGCCAGGATTCTTGTGCAGGGTTTGTCAGCTTTGGGATCCTTGTTGTTAGAGACAATTTTATAGCTTCCACTAGAATAGTCATGCGTTCTTGCCTCAAAATGATGAGAAACCCTGTTACTGAGCTGTAGCTATTGGGGCTGGAGAGAACCTGCTGGCTGTGAAACGGATCCTCTGGGAATCTCAGATCTCAGTTTACTCCTGCCTAAAATCACTATGAATATTTGGAAAGAGCAGAAAGGGGGAAAGCAAGGAATGACTCTAGCATTAAATCATAATTTATCTGCACAATCAAGCTTCCTATTCTTCTGTGTGGCTTGAATAACTACCAGAGAACACCACATTGCCATCAAATTAAGTTTACACACTACCCTTCCCATAAATAATGTTTTAAAAGAGCTCATAACCAGAATAGCTTCCTTATCTAAACTTCGAAATGATTCTGTTAGGTATATTGCTCTGTTTGTGGGTGCATTCACTGCTATGAAATGTTGTGACAGTGGTTCCTGGTGATGGGTGACAATGACAACTCCCCTTGAATTGGTGTAGGTGAAGAATAGGGCTCCAAGGATGGATTCTGCTTGCAGTTCCTTCATAGGATATGCTGCTCCTTATTATTGTCATTTATCAAGCCGATGGAGAGCCAGTTTGGTCTAGTGGTTAGGGCACCAGCTAGAAACTGGGAGACCACAAATTCTGGTTCTATCTAACGCACAAGGTCATATGGGCGACCTTGGGCCAATCCCTCTCTCTCAACCCTAGGAAGCAGGCAAGGGTAAACTATTTCTGAAAATCCTTGCCAAGAAAACTGCAGGGATGAATCCAGGCAATTGCCAGCAGTAAACACTGATTCAAAGGCACACAGAAATCAAGCAGTTACAATCTGTTCTGCATGTACAAAGAATCAGGGATAGACTTTTTTCTTCTTCAGATCCATCACAATTTCAGAATCTCTTAACTCAAAGCTATGAGAAATATTACTTGCAGAATCATATAAGGGTCAAAGCAATGTATTGTCGTAAAGCTTTTTATAACCACTTTGCTTATATGAAAGGACTGATGTTATTGTTAAAATATTCATGACTGGGAGAGACATGGGAACAAGGTCAGCCAATGAATAGGCATAGGAACTAAGTCAACCAATGGGAGCTTAAACAGATCTGAGTCTGTGCAAAGAATTGAAACAGAAACTTAAGCAGTCTGCTGCTCTGAGAAGTAAACTATCAGTCTGTCTGGGCTTGTCTGCTGATATGAAACTAACTGTTTTTTGTTTGCCTATAACTCTCCTGCCTTGTGTTTACTTGGAAGAACCACCTGTTGGTATTGTACATTTATTCAACTATTCTTATGCATATAAAGAGGTTAATGAATCCTGCTGCATCAGTTATCTCTGTGTGATTCTGGATTTGAAGTTATGCAACAAACTCTGACAGTTATGTTGGATGTTGAAAATGATTTCTAAATCACAAGGAACCCAAGTGTTTAACCAACATCTTTTTACTGAAGTTAATTAAGAGGAGATAACCCTGTGTTATGCATTTCTCCCGAGGGCTGTGTTTTTTTTCTAAGAAAATAATCATTAGACTTTAGAGAAAGAAACCTATCCTTGATTGGGATGTAAGATGTAAATGTGTATACATGCATAGCAGAGTTGTGTTTGTGATAAGTAATCATTGATGCAGGGAGTGAGACAGAGGTAAAGAATAGATGTGAACCAGGCTAGAAAGCAAGAGACTGTGAGTTCAAGCTCTGCCTTAGCCATGAAAGCCAGCTAGGGCCCCCTTGGGCCATTCACTGTCACTCAGCCCAACCCACCTCACAGGATTGTTGTGAGAAAAATAGGAGAAGGAAGGAGGATTAGATGGGATTGCCACCTTCAGTTATTAATAAAAATAATAAAGGCAGGAAAGAAAGAAATGATGCCTGGGCTTGCAAGACAATCTCACGGCACGTTATTCATTTATATTATATGATAGAAGCGATATCTTGAAATGCTCTTCGTTTGGTGCACAAAACAACACTGTGTTTAAGGATGATTCCAATCAAGGGATGTGCTTAATGCATTGACTTTATGTGTTGACTTTAGAAAATGAACATTAGATTTTATTTACATTTATTCATGCAACCTACCGTATTTTTTAGAGTATAAGACACACCGGAGTATAAGATTTTGAAGAGGCAAATTTTTTTAAAAAGTTTTTGCACTCTGCAGACCTCCTCAAAATGGCCCATTTTTTTGTGAAAATTTTTTTTGTCAAAAAAAGGACATGCATAGCCTTTAGGAGGCTTGTAGGATGCTCCTGGGGGCAGGGGGACAAAAACAAGCACAAAACAGCCAATTTTTCACTCATTTTTGCCCTCCCCAGCCACCAGGAATGCTCTATAAGCCTCCTAAATGCTATGCATGACCATTTTTTGTGAAGGGGTCAGGGTTTCGGGAGGCCAAAAATGCTGTATTCAGTGTATAAGATGCACCCAGATTTTCACCCCCTTTTTTTTTTGAGGGAAAAGGGTGTGAAAAATTTATAATCCTAAAAATGCGGTATATTCCTGGCCTTTGAGAAGCTGCTGTAATCATTTCTAGATCTATATAAATGAACCCAGATGGCCGGCATATTCAGGGTTTTACTGTGCCTCACTATGTTTAGCTCATTACAATTTTGGATGGTCTTTTATAATTACACTCTATAACCCCAGATGGTCTGAAGCTCAGGAGGATGGCGATTACTCCTGCTATTCCTTGAGGGTGTCAGGGCAGGCATCTTACCGTTCTTGGGAGTTGGATCTGAGCCTCTGGCTCCCTAGCCATCATTAAATCAATGAAATCACTGCCGTTCAATGAATTAAATGCTTGCCCCGGTCCAAGATGTGTTTCAGGGCCACCCTGGGGGAAAAGAAAGCTGAGCCTGTTCACATTCTCCGTCTCTTGGCTTGGTTCTTGGCGTCCAGTCCAACTTGGGCAAGGGATAAAAGGGTCACATTCAAAGGCAAATAAACAAACCCGCTTTCTCTCTGTGCCTCTCTCAAGGACAAAGAGGCATAATGCAATGGGAAAAGGCTCCTTAAAGAGAAAGGCACCCAATGTGGTTATTCCTAGGAAAACATCACTTTTGTTGAAGCCACTTCAAAAAGAAAAGCACTGGTGACTCTTCGCTCCAGAGAGCAGAAGAGAAACAACCGCACAATGTCCTCTTTCAGCCTTGTATTGTCCATTTCTCTGTAGCTCTTTTTGTGGGGTTCCTCATATCGTATCCCAGATTCCTTTGATAATTATGCGAGGGTGATTCCTGCATTCGGCTGTGGGACATTGATATGCTTGTTTTGCAGTGAGGCAGAGCATATTAATGGGGCAATTTTCTTATTTAACCCCAATTCCCAACTCCCCACCTCACCCCCACCTCTTTGTTCACAATTGAAAGTGCATGCCTTTGGCTTGCCACAAAGTGCTAATAGCTAACATTTGGAATATCAAAAAATGAGTTAAAACACAAAAACACAATCTGATTCCAAATATCATCATTTCTTTTCGCATAAGTGGTAGCACAGTGAATATAGTACAAAGATAATTTCCAGTCATGAATTTTATATCCCATTCAAATTCCCATCCAGCTGGGCTATAAATTGATTCAACCCAGACTTTTCCCTTTGATTTTCTTGCACTCTTCAGTGCCAGGTGTGTCTGGTTTAGGTTATATTTTTTAAAATCTTTATCTCAGCCAAAGGATTAGCTTTCTCTAGAAACAAATCCCGCTCTGATCAAGCTGAATTAGAGATTGAAAGTAAAGGATGCAGCCTTTCAGAACAACAGAAAACCCAGCAGCAAAAAGGTACCAGAGGTTATCCACGTTGTTTGTTATTGTTGTTAAAAAAAAAACCTTTTCTATTTCAGCCATAATCCAAGTGGCTGTCGGGAAGACAAATAGGATACCAAGACATGTGTGCTCTTTCCAGTACAGTCCTGTTAAATCAGTTTAAAGACCAAATGAGTTACTCGGTGAAAGCTGAAAGGGCCACCGTTTCAAAGCTGTGAGTATCCTCACTCTGCTCGACTTAAGTCTGAAACCCTCTTGACAGTCTGTTCAAGCCACGCACCTTAGTTTGACTTGAGACTATTGTTCTCTCTCTCTCTCAAGGAGCTTTAATGGTTAGAGAGCAAGATCACGACTTCTTGGGATCGTGAATATGAGCGAGATGGTTTTCTAACCTTGGAGTCAGCAAGGTGGAATGCTTTGCTGTGGAACAGGAGAGGCCAACACATTCCCTCTTATTTCCTCACGCTGAACTCCTACGACAAACTAAGGCTACAGTATTTGATTTTTTTAAAAATCTGTTATAAATGCATTGCACATGGCTTACACACTTTTGGAGAGCACCTCTTTGAAAAGCCTTTGCTGATTCCGATGTTCTGCCAGAAACATCCCCCGTTCTAGCTGTTGGGGTTTCCACACTCATACCATGCACCAATGTGACTCACCCATACCACATTTCCATCACCACCAAGCCCAGCAAGTTCATCTGGAGTGTTCCTTCCCAGAAGCCTTTCCTCTTACCTGCTTGGACAGCTAAACACAGCAGTGACAGGGCAGCCAAGAAGCAGGCCCATCGCCGGGGTGCAGCTTGCTGGGTCCCTAGTCCTTTAGCCATGCCTTTTTTTTTTCCTGGAGAAGGTCCAGAGAAGGAATAAGCCCGCAACTGAGCAGGCTAATCTGTCTGACTCTTTATGTAGGACACTGACTCCCCCGGTCCCGCTTGCCATTGATTGGTGGAAAACTAGTAACAGCTGTTACCAAGGAAACGGGTTGAGATTGTGAATGGAGGCCTTTGGGGCATTGTGGGACTCCCAGGCAGTTGGCAGAGTCTCCCTGAGGAAGTAAGACTACCTTGATCCCACAGCGTGCTGGAAGCTAAGCAGTTGAACAAAGGGCATCCATCTTTTCGCTTTTGCTTTTCTGGTGTCTCAGTTTCAAAAGTTTCTAAAGTTATGTTCCCAAAATACCGAAGATAGAATGAATGCTGCAAAGGAATGAATTCTCTCCCCAGCTTTGATCTTTGCATATTTTAGGTTGTTATCAGCTGGCTGAAGGTTGGCAGCAGAGCTTCATAGAACACAGAATCCGAGGGCTGTAAAAAAACCTTGGAGGTCTTCTAATCCAACCTCAGGCCCCTTATACCATCCCTGTCAAACGGTTGTCTGGTCGTTTTTTTAAAACCTCCAGTGATGGGACATTCACAACTCCGGGAGGCAAGCTATTCCATTGATTAATTGTTCTCACTATCAGAAAAAATTGCCTTGCTTCAGTTTTTCTCTGTTTGCTGAAGTATGGGATATTCTGCTCTTTGACACTTGTTTGTTCCAAAAGAGGTGTGTGTCACCATATAATGTCTTCAGCGAGCAACCTAATTTTCCAGCACTCTAGATAAATCTGACATACTAATGGACTAAACAGAGATATGAGGGTATTTCCACAGTATCGCAGCAGGGCAGTATCACAGTAGGGGAAAAGAGAGTGGACTGTGTTACATATGATTATAATATCTCCCCTGCAAGATATATAAGTATATAGGCTTACTACCATATGCTTAAGTATATTTACTAGCAGCAAGCAAGAAAAATCTGGTTTGCACTCTGAAAGTTGCAATTCAGCATCCCAGCCGAGATTCAGCATCCTGCACTATTTCAAATTCATAAAGTTATTGGCCTGTGTAGCCAATAAAGACTTCAGCGCACTGTAATCTATTGACTGAATGTTTGGCTAATAACTTAGAACCAGGTTTATCTGTCCACATTATGGGCAGTTCAGAATCTATCAAAATTAGAACAAAAGATGAGATAAACGAATAAAAATTGGCAAGTCTATGCATGGATGATGCTTAAAGCTTTTTCTGGAGAGTATCCTAACTTTTCATTCTCCATCTTATTCTCTTTTCAAGAAAACAGACCTCCCAGTTTGGTGATCAACAGTGTAGGGAAGATCCATCTGATTATATCTGCTCATGCGGAAATGTTATGTTAAAGGAATATGAGTCAGCCATAAATGAACTGACCTGGCATGGTACATCTTTTATCAGCATTGAATGGAGAAAGAAGAACCCACATTCAAATTGCCAGTGGACCAAGGAATTCATTGAGTTATAAACTGGATAGATAGATGATAGATAGATAGATGAAAGATGAGATAGATAAAAGATGGTAGATATAGATAGATAGATAGATAGATAGATAGATAGATAGATAGATAGATAGATAGATAGATAGATAGATAGATAGATAGATAGATACAGATGAGATAGATGATGCTAAATGATGATGATAGATATAGATAGATGAGAGAGAGAAAGAGAGAGAGAGAGAGAGATTCAGATGAGAGAGATGATGCTAAATGATGATGATATAGATAGATAGATAGATAGATAGATAGATAGATAGATAGATAGATAGATAGATAGATAGATAGATAGATGAAACA